AGTTTGAATTTGTGATCAAGATTGATCACAAAAAACTGATCACAAATTTGTTATTTCTGATCACATTTTTTTGTGATCAAAACTGATCACAATTTTTGGTACCAGGAGGGGGTCATGGGAATCTAATTTTTTCCAAAAAAATTGAAATCGACATGGTTCCAGTCTTGCCTAAATATTTAGTCCCATTTGAAGTTTTTGTTCGATTTATTTGATCGTACAGACAGCCCTTCCTGACTTTCGAAAAACATCATTTTTCTAGGGCACGAATAAAAACTGGATGGCACGAATAAGAAAGTGAATTGAGAGAAAAATATGGTCGTACAAATCAAGAACTTCAAGAGACATTCACTGCACAATTTTTAAAAGCAATTGATCCAACTACATTCAAATAAAATCAAAATGGTTGTTAACAGAGAGGGAATGAAGTGCCTAATGTCCTTAAACAAACAAGAGGCAGTGGGAGGCAAAGGGGGCTATGCGTTTGATTCCGGTTGCAACATTTCCGGCCTTCGCAAAGTTCACATCCATGCTGGACCATATGCTCACGGCACCGTCAAATATCATGCATTGATCAATAGAGTTTTCTTTGAATTCGACACCCCCTTTCATCAAAACAGTGAGCAGGAACCTTGCATTCACGTTTTCGGCGGAGTTGAAATGTATGCAAAAAACACTACCTATAGTGTATTTCTAGTCCCGGAGAACGATCCCATTGCCCGTATCGATGTTTGGTCCGACAACCTTGTCACCGGTCTTCAATTCACAATGGCCTCGGGTGCAGTATCTCAAGTATATGGATCTATATCACCTACAAAATCTAGCAAATCTTCCTTCGAACCAAAAGATGATTCTCTGTGGCAGTTGGTCGGAATTCATGGATCCTGTGGTACTGTCGTTGACAGCCTTGGTTTTACATTTGGAAGAGTTAGTGAAGTAGTCAACAAAGATGACGAAATTGGCAGCCGAGATTTTAAATTTGAAAGAGTTGCCACTGTTCTCTCTGGTGAAGTAGTCAACAAAGATGACGAAGAAAACTGTCAATGATAGCTGTTGGCGATCCATCCCTCTGCTTCTATTTCTGGCACTTATGTGAGTAATGCGCCGATGAAGCAGCAATTTCAGCACAAACTTCAAGCAGCACAGCGAAACAAGAAGATGTATCAGAAAGTACTCTATTGAACTAGTCAGACAGCTTGTTTCTTGTTTAGAACATTAATTACGTTTCACCTTGTTACAAGGAGGGAACATACATCTACATCAATTATCACTGATTTTACTAATTTCCACCGAAAGTGTCGTTGTAGCTGTTCTGTGACTATTTTTGTTATTGTATGTAGGTTTAAAAAGTGCTCTCGATGCCTTTTTTTCGTATTTAGCATTGTGCTGAACCAAACTGTGTTTCGGAAATTCCCGACAAGGGCTACGGACAACAGAGCAAGACTCAGAAAACAAGATACTGCTCTGGTTTTCAATATCGCAAGCCATGACGTGGGATACCTTAGGGTGAACGGAATAATGAAATTTCCTATAAGACACAGGCAACGAACGATGCCACAGGCGGAGACAAAACGGGCTCACCAAGCATACCATACCTTACCATGTCACAAGAAGGTTTATGCTCCGACAAGCAGTCGGAGCTACTAGCAAAGAGCAGTAAAAGTATCGTATGAGTATTTGTATTGTACTACAAACGATTGTAAGGCGACTTTTGCTCGTTCGTTGCAGCCATTGGCTCCCATCCTTTCCCATGTCCGGCGTCGAGCCGTAAACAATAGTTTAGCAAGTGCTTATAACACTGCACTGATGGACGAAACGCAGTGCGCAAACTATACTAAGGCTTGAATTCTGAGTTACAGGATTGATACGACGCGGTACACTTCAAAGCAAGACGAATATGATTTTAGTTTATAACACGCCAATTGATCAGTTCACAAGAACCAGCAGCAGAACGTTTTGTCGCCGGATCCTTGCGACCGATGCCGCCAGGGATGGTTGCAATGCACGAGGCTCGATGAAGGGTTGATGGATTCGTCCAAAGCAGAGTTATCGASTTCCGTTGAGAACGCACAGTATCCCACCGCYGCAGATGGATCGGAATGGAACCGGGTCGAAATCGAATCGACGCGAATCAATCGACCCGGCCAAACCCAGACACACGGCACGGCGGCACTCACTGCCTACCACTTCGCAATGCGGCGCTTGACGCTGACTCCATTGAAGTTTCCTCCGATCGGGATCGGCAAACCTCGGTCCTTGTACCATTGCACCATTTCTTTGCATTTTTCGTCGTCGGCTGCCCAGGTCGGTGTCGGAAGCTGTTGCAAAGAAAAAGTGCATCAAAAGGAAAAAAACACGAGCAGACAATCGAAACAAGAAATCAACATTCTGGTCAGCAACTGTGTGATTTCGATGGATCTAATTCAAAAAATGAAAACGCAACGAAGCAATATTAAAAAAAAGAACACTTCGATTGTTGCATACAAAAAACATTGCGGTGTTCGTTCGTTTCGTTAGCATACTCACGTGGTCCGGCATGTGCTTGTCCAGTTCCGCAAAGAGCTCGTCGTTGGTGACGGACATAACGGCCCGCAGACCGCTCAGGCCGGTCTCCGACTTTCCGTTGGCAAAGATTCCACCGTTTCCCTGCGACGACAGGGGGCCGGCCGCAAGGCGTTCCTTGGCCGCAACGACCTCCGGATCGTTCTCGTCGAGCATGTCCAGCTTGATCTGCTCCACGTCCGGGTGTGGGAACTCGGGATCCACGTACCGGCGGCGGGTGTCGCGCTTGAAGTATCCCGARTCGTAGGGATCGTCGTCGAGGTCCTTGGTAGGAATCTCCACAAAGGGCTGGCTACCCGGAGATACCTCGCGGATGGCGACGGATTCCTTTCCGTCCTTGCTGTAGATGTGCTTCTGGTTGGGGTAGGGCAGCTGGTTGAGGTTGTTTGGATCCTCGGGCCAGAAATAAAAGAAGCCCTTGACCGTGTCGAAGGTTTCGGGGCTCATCTTGTCCCGGAAGACGCGTTCCATCCAGCCCCTCCAGGGCAAAAAGGGCTCCTCGGTGGTTTCCTTGGCGGGCTTGATGGAGGGAGCCTCTTCTTTCGAAACGGCACGGGGGTATTCGAGTTCCTTTCGGTTGTCCCCTTCGGTGGAAAAGGAGGCTCTCGCGGCGGAGGCCCTGCCGGCGGTCTGCATTCCCCTGGATGCAACCGCGCCGGCCTTCCGGATAGCGTTGACTCTCATCATGGTTCGCTTTGCTTAGCTAGGTTTTATTTTTTTTATTTTTTTTCTCCCTTTGCTCTGCTTTGCTTCGACTAGCTATAATGCGTTGTCTTCGATTCAAAGTCTAGTCACCAGTGCTTTCGGATTCCGGTGCAGAGTGCTCCTCTTTCTTTCACAGAAAACGATGTCTTGACACTGCATCAACGATAGCAACGAAGTACCTCTTGAATCGGTTGCTGATGGAGCTGTTGACGAAGTCGCTCTGTACGGTGCGTTCTCGTACCAGTTAGTACGTACATCGCATTCGTAGCTAACTGAAGAGGCGATGCGTCGCTGCTTCAAAAAAACCAACGCCGTTGTTACGGACGACGACGCGCGGCAGAGCAAATGGAATTTCTTCACGCCGTATTTTTGGRATGAAAAAATGGGGGGAGATGCGCTTATCCCCCTCAAATCATGAAATGGTGCAAAATTAATTCAAATTGGCATTCGAGACAGGGAAAAATGAAGAAATAATGAAAAATGAACGTCTAACGCCCAGTGTTACGCGACTCCGTACTAGAAGTGCTACGGTTTTGTTGAGTTTTGATCGTGCCTGGTCATAAAAAATTAACTGCATGCAAGGCCTTCACATAACCAATACAAGTAGTACCGTACGACAACAATTTTGCCAAAGCCGAGGCTTCAGCCTTTTGTGTCTGTGTGTTTCCTAGTTCTCCTGCCACAGCAAACCCAAAGCACCACACCACACCACACCAACCACCGAACCAATCAATCCATCCATCGACATCGCAAAGAAAGCATGGTATTTCGATCGATCTACGAAACCCTGAGATCCCTCGCCGACTCCCTGTGGAAGGCCCTGGGGTTCTTCGAGGGCAAGGAGGGGTCCCTCGTGGTCCTGGGCCTCGACAACGCCGGAAAGACGACCATGCTGCACCGGCTGCGCACCGGCGGCGACGTCCGGAGYTTCCCTCCGACCGATCGTCCCCAGCAGACGGAAACCTTCGCCACCCCAGGAGGCGTTTCCTTCCGGGCCTGGGACCTCGGTGGCCACGAGGCGGTCCGGCACCTCTGGGAGGACTACGTCTGCGAGTCGTCGGCCGTCCTCTTTCTGATCGACGCCTCGGACACGGCACGGTTCGAGGAAGCCGGTTTCGAGCTGGACGCGCTGATCGGAGAAAAGGTCGTGGAGGACCTGCCKGTGGCGATCCTGCTCAACAAGTGCGACCTGGAGAACGCGGCCTCTTCCGCGGAGGTCTGCAAGCAGATCCACTTCGACGACCTAAGGGAAATGCAGGGGGAGGACAAGATCGAGGTCTTTCGCATGTCGGTGCTCCGGGGGGAGGGCTACCAGGCGGCCTTTCGGTGGGTGGCGGGGTTTTTGTAGCTTGCGCAGATCCATCGACCCGCGCGGTCCCATGCGACAAGACGGGATGCGACTCCGTGYGATCCCGCGCCACGCCTCAATGAACCGATCGTGCTCCGAGCCACGAGGCCAATGGAGGCATGTGCCACGCCACCGGAACGAACCCATCGGGGATGGGCTGGCCTGGCCTGGCCCATCAAASRCSGGTTTCCACGAAGCTGCAGAAGCGATGCGTCCCGCAACGCTTCGATGGCTTGGGRCGACACCAAATGCGTGCGAATACACTGCGAAGATTCTGCGCACCGTTTACCAATGCTCAGTACGAAGATGCGATGGATCCTTTCTCGCGAAATGGTTTTAGGTGCCCACGAACACTGAAATGGACGGCAGTTCTCTTTGCGATTGCGATTGMGACGAATGGAAAAGTTCCAGTCGACGCTCGAACCTTTCAGCAAGCGCTCTGCGAGCTTTGGGGAGAGCGCTCGTTCGGATCGGACGCCAACCTTCAAACAACTACGACTGAATACAGTGCTTTTRGCACAAAGAAATTTATGAGCTTAAGGCCTTGGATTCCTATAAGAGATAAGCAACGATCTATCTATCGACAAAACCATTTGCATTCAGAGTTCTTAAGGATACGACGATTGAGATTYTTATCATTTCGTGGAATTATGATTTAKTAGTGCGGTGCGTTCCGATTTCTCGGTTGTTGGCATACTAGCTTTATCTTCTTCTTCGACCCCATATCTTTTCACTTTCGTTCTTGAGCTATGGAAGAAGGCGATCATTGGATACTACCCGATCGATCCTCGACGAAACTTGGGATAGAAACACGACGTTTGGAATGCCTGGGTAAAACTACTTTCCGAAGCTAGGAGTAATTAGTTTTAGTCTTACTGTAATAGTGGTCGTACCGGTATGGCTTCGAAAAATAAAAATACAGATTTTTTTTTCCAAAACAGGTTAGTCGCGAGTCACCCTAAAAACACATGCTCCACGCGGCGAAACCCATCATGTTCGTTTTCGAGAGACGTCTGTCGTGTCTCCTCAGCAGCSTACGAAGCYGGGTTCAATACACTTCGTACGGTACGTACGACGTACTGCCGAGGAATCATCATCTTCTCGGTCACAGCAAATACGGTTGAAAACCGAAGACACAGAGCACTGGTACGAGGACGGCTGTTRACCGTAGTTGCACACCCAAAGACAAACCCTCCGACATCTTCGAACGAGTTCCAAGCGTCTATCCAATCGCAAGAGAGGCTCTCCGTTCGATCCAATCTAGTTTACTTGAATCCGTCTATACCATGGCCAAAAAGAAGCAACAAAAGGAACCCGTCGAAGTCGTCGAGTCCGACAACGAGGAAGAGGAGGACGTCGACGAAGAGGAGGAGGAAGAAATGGAGCTCCTGCAGGTCGACGTCGGCGACATGATCAAGGTGAAGCAGATCCTGGACGAGACCGTCGCGGCAACCGTCCTGGAGCAGATCGATGAGGACTAYCGCTTTGACAACTTCAAGCTCATCCTCATGACGGTCGCCTGCATCTTTGCCATGATCGCCCAGTTCGCCCCGCTGCCCTTCCCGGACGCCCGCATCGTCGTCGGGCTCTGCTGCGCCTGCTACTTTTKCCTGAGCGGGATCCTGCAGCTGATCACCACGTTTATCGACCAGGACTGCATCCTTCTGACCAAGCCGCTCCCTGCGGAGGGAAAGAGCAACGACGAAGACGGGGGCATCAACGAGGACACCGGGAAGAAGATCTTCCGAAAGGACCCCAAGGACATCAAGAGCAAGGACCTCTTTCGGTACGGTGTCCGGGTTCGGTCGCAGTTCCCCCGGTTCTCGGAATGGTACACGGTCATCCTGGAGTTTGAAAAGATGGAAAACACGCCCACGGTCACGCAAAARTGGAGCGTTGGGCAATTCTTCGACAAGGAGGGCATGTTCGACGAGATTGGTCTCCAGCTGGAGGTAGAAAAACTGTACAGGCGCCTCGAAGACGCCGACTACGATAGCCAAAAGAGTGCATCGGACAAGAAAAAAGACTGAGCCGCCGGGATGAMAATATATGAGCGAGAACGGTGCGAACACTGCGGAAGGAATTATTCAGTAAAATTGACTTYTGGAATGTACGATAGTACTATGTTGTTTTAACCTTTTTCGACTACCAACTTTTGTKAAACTGGTACTATGGTGCAGATAAGAAATTTAMTGTAGTTGATATAGTCGGTSTCCTCTCCATCTACGTAAGGGAATGCCTTTGAAAAAGCTCCGAACCGGTAGAGTAATCGATCGTCGATCGCTCCAATCTCTCACCAACGATTTGTGTTGCACCCGGGGCACGGACACGATTCTGTGTAACAGGATGGATGATGGTCAACCCGGCGTCTGTATCTGGATTCTATGGTTGTCGTGCCAAACCGTTACGGAACCAAAGCAGTCGTTGCTATTGCGCGTTTCACCTGCTGGGGATTYYCGTTCCCGGGTTCGATACCGCACGGCACGGTACAACAGAACAGAGCTGTTCCGGCAMGCRWTTTGTTTTTCCTCCGGAAAATTCGTTCTATAGATTATCGTACTGCATCCTCTTTAGTGTTTGTGGCGGCGCGCAGCGGATCCACTCGCGGCCGTCAACGGAGCCATCAGCATCCCCTGTTCCTCGTCCCCGCTGTTCCGTCGCTTCTTCTCCTCCTTCTCCTTGTTCTTGTTGCGGATCTTGATGAGGCTGGACAGGAGGAGTCCACCCAGCACCATCAGTGCCCCCAGCACATAGTACCAGCTGAATGCCTTGGGAAAAAGCAAAAACGACAGAATCAAAGTCATCCCCTTTCGGCCGGTGGCTAGAAGGACGGAGGATACACCGCCGAATCGCCGCACGACGTTCATGTGGCAGGAAATGGCAATGTAGGCGATAAAGGTATACACGAAAATATAATGGCAGAGTGTGGTCCGGTCGGGGGACCCCATCACGAAGCGCATGGATCCCAGCAAATCGCCCGACAGAAGGGTCGTGGCGGTCATGGCGATTAGCGTAAAGATGTTGGTGTAAAAGGTGACCTCCAGCCGGCTCGACCCCATCCCAAACAACCTTTCCTGGGCGTTGGGTAGGACGGCATCCGCGCAGACACTTAGAATTACAAAGGCCAGGCCGATGGGATGAAAGGATGGGGCCAGGGACCAATCGGCGGCCGCGAACAGCACCAGACCGGCGCAGATGCAAAAGGCACATCCGTATTCGAGAACGGAAAAGGTTCGTTTGTGAACTATCGATGCGACGACCATTGTGGGGATCAGCTGTTTTGTTGCGATTTTTTGGTACCCGTGTTGCACCAACAATGAAAAATGGCGATGCAATTGGTATGGAATATGGTTGGATTTTATGGATAAAAAGCAATCGCGTCGTCCGCAAAGCTGAATGGTGGTCTAACAAACCCCAAACAGCCTGCAATGATTTATTTGTAAATTGTTTTCGAACAAAGACTCACCTTGCACGATCGAAAGACGACCTTGGTCGGAAAATTGATATAGTTCAGCGACAAATTGGACAGGCTCGACGAGCTCAGGAGGCATATTGTCAGCAGCGGATACGCCGAGATCGGAGCGACCCGCTGGGTTTCCCGAGCCACGCACCGCCGCTCCAAAAAGGAGCAGATCGTTACCCCCAGCACCTCCAGGTAGCCGAGCATGACCCCAAAGTTGAAGCCCGGAACGGACATTATCGCCTCCTGYAGGTAGTTGTGCACGCCGAAGAACAAAAAGACCCCACAGGCTARGATCGAAAACTGCGCGGGCGGGGCAAGGGCGTCGAACCAGTGCTGTTTAGTTTGCTGCCGCTCGTTGGCGTGGRGTTCGACGGAAGCGTCGTGGGATTTGTGTCCCGCAGTGCCCGTATCGTTCTTCGGAWCAACGACGACCGGTGATCGCGGCCGCTGTTTCGGACCGGTCGACATGCTTGTTGGTTTTATTTTTATTTGATTGTATTTGTTATATTCTAATCTTTGTCGGTATTGCAATCCGCACGGTGTACGCACAGGCACGACTCGAAGCAATCGTCGACGACAACCGGCAATGATGATTTCAAGGACGTCGTTCTTCGATCAATATTTCTGTTTCTGCTCTATCCCACCCGAGGTTTCACAGTGTGGCACTTTCTTATGCAGGTCCTCCTTCTTTTCAGTGATGGAGTTGGTAATGTTGGCACGGAAAGTGAAATTATCGTTATCGCTCCAGTAGATAGATCTTCGCTAGTCTGGTGGTGGTGGTGGTAGTAGTTGGTTTTCCCGTTTCAAATGATAGTTATGACTAACATGTATTACGACCGTTAAAAGCATGGAACTTCCGACATCATTTTCAATTTCCATTCGAGCGGAGTACGATTACCCGCTTTGTACACGTACTGCTGGTAGTTTTCATTCTTGTTTTTTATTCCTTCRCGAACGGATCACATCGACGAAATCGTCAGAAGACAAAAAATATATCCCAGCGTACAATCCTACAGGTACCGTACCACACTGTACGAGTATGCCATTTCTCGACCGTAAGAGTATCGCACAGTACGTACCTACTCGTACTGTTCGTACGTGTCATGTGTTGTAACGTAAGAATGCCTGTCGCTACTGTAACGAAACATCATAAGTAATATCATACAGTATGAAAATATGTTTAATACAGTAAAGTGCTGCAGGGCTACCGTACCGTACGGTCCCCAGTAAAATACTGTACTTTTTCACTAGGCGTCTCACCTTCAAGATTCCAGATAGGATTCACATTCTGTGCACTACCGAAATAAGGATAATTTTCTACCGGCTTCAAATCCAAGCGCGCCTCAACAAATTATTGGTCGTATTTTTGTGTGACTTCGAGGAAAAATATGCCGATAGGAGGAACAACGGAAAGTTGTTTCGGCGAAGCCACAAAAAATAGGTAAACAAACCTAAAAGGAGGTTAGGAACAAAAGTGTTACTTCACCAGAAAGGCCGATCTAACCCGCCCCAGAAAATCATGGAGCGATGGCTTCTCTTCGGAGAAAAAACTACGCCAGAACAAKTCATTTTCCATACTTCTATCGCAATCGACTAAGACGTGTGGTGCAAGGGTTATCATCCAGAAGTTCCTAGAGTCTGATCACAAAGTAGACATACAAACGTAGCCATTCATAAGAAAAGTCGRCCCTTTTACAACCATGCCGAAGACGTGCTGCAGCTGCCGAGGCGTCGGTGACGGATATTATTTGCAATCGGATGATACATGCATGTGTGGTGAGTTTATACTACGATTGTGGTTGTCTTGGTTGCCATATTTTCTATCTCGTATCWTCAACTYCATTGAYCGCCACAGTATTAAYGYATTTCTGCATACATTATARCTTCTGTTGCTAAATGTTTCTGTCTGTCTTTTCCCTCTGCATCAAAATTCAAATCCCAAACATACACATCGAACAAATTAGGAGGTRCCTATCCGAATGGTTKGGCACCTATACTCGCGGTCCAARCATTGGCGTTGTGTGGAATGMTATTTTCTGTAGCGGCCTTAGCCGATTGCAGCTTTTTGGAATTGGACCATCGATTGTTCTTTCCTGAGGATATGGACGAGAATCTTCCTTTGGAGGTTACGCAGACACAGTTCGTAGGACTTTTTACATGGAAAAAGCTCGAYGGGTACGTATCATATTGTCCCATGCTGCTGGTATACGTCGCCGGTTCAAGAAGTGGATTTTTCYTTGAACTCACTCTGAATTTGATTCAATGGGCATCTTGAATGTTTTTTGTTGGACACCTTCGTSGACTATCAGATCTTGCTACTGGTACAACTMTGGTTCAGACATGGAGGGTCAAGTGGCAACCTTCCATGACATTCTGGGAACTGACATGSAGAAGGCATTTTTTTTTGCTGCAGYCAGTGCTTCCTTGTCGTTTGTCTACTTCATTTACCTTATATCGTTCACGTGCTCCGCCCAAGTTCGCGGAGTCCGATATTTCAACGCGCTGTTCCTATCCGTGGTACTCACAGTGCTGCAAGGTCTCACTTGCTTGGCATTTGATTCGTCGTTCTGCTACGACTACGGATGCACATTTTCGCGCTCCGCGGGATTGAGYGTTGTTTCGATTATATTCTTCTTTTCATCAGGTTTATGTTTTTTTTTCACCACCGATTAYCCTGGATCCGAATGGAATAACAAAAAGCCGGTCTTGGTGCCGATGAGAACTAAGATTGCACCTGATGAGCCCAAAGACAAGAGTGTGCCAGAAGCAGATCAAATGGAACGTGGWATCCTTGGAGACTTAAATGATGAAGGGACTCCTGATATTGAAGAGGTTATGCCTGACTTCGAAGACGAATTCATAGAGGAAGAAGTAATCGATGATGTTGAGGAAGAGGTCGTTGGTGAAGGCGGCGAAGAAGTGCCCAAAGCAAACGAGGAAACGGAGGAGAAGGAGGTTGCAGTTGATGCTACTGGCGATGAAAAAGTCTTGGAAACGGTGAACGAAACGAAYCAGAACGGTGACGAAGCGGAACAAGTCGCTCGTTCCATGGAGGAAAGCAACGATAATACCGAAACTGCAGGCGATGCTGCTCCTACTGCTGTGACTAGCCCCGAAGTTGCAGCTGCAGCCAGCCCTGACCCTGAGAGCNTCCTCTCCATCTACGTAAGGGAATGCCTTTGAAAAAGCTCCGAACCGGTAGAGTAATCGATCGTCGATCGCTCCAATCTCTCACCAACGATTTGTGTTGCACCCGGGGCACGGACACGATTCTGTGTAACAGGATGGATGATGGTCAACCCGGCGTCTGTATCTGGATTCTATGGTTGTCGTGCCAAACCGTTACGGAACCAAAGCAGTCGTTGCTATTGCGCGTTTCACCTGCTGGGGATTYYCGTTCCCGGGTTCGATACCGCACGGCACGGTACAACAGAACAGAGCTGTTCCGGCAMGCRWTTTGTTTTTCCTCCGGAAAATTCGTTCTATAGATTATCGTACTGCATCCTCTTTAGTGTTTGTGGCGGCGCGCAGCGGATCCACTCGCGGCCGTCAACGGAGCCATCAGCATCCCCTGTTCCTCGTCCCCGCTGTTCCGTCGCTTCTTCTCCTCCTTCTCCTTGTTCTTGTTGCGGATCTTGATGAGGCTGGACAGGAGGAGTCCACCCAGCACCATCAGTGCCCCCAGCACATAGTACCAGCTGAATGCCTTGGGAAAAAGCAAAAACGACAGAATCAAAGTCATCCCCTTTCGGCCGGTGGCTAGAAGGACGGAGGATACACCGCCGAATCGCCGCACGACGTTCATGTGGCAGGAAATGGCAATGTAGGCGATAAAGGTATACACGAAAATATAATGGCAGAGTGTGGTCCGGTCGGGGGACCCCATCACGAAGCGCATGGATCCCAGCAAATCGCCCGACAGAAGGGTCGTGGCGGTCATGGCGATTAGCGTAAAGATGTTGGTGTAAAAGGTGACCTCCAGCCGGCTCGACCCCATCCCAAACAACCTTTCCTGGGCGTTGGGTAGGACGGCATCCGCGCAGACACTTAGAATTACAAAGGCCAGGCCGATGGGATGAAAGGATGGGGCCAGGGACCAATCGGCGGCCGCGAACAGCACCAGACCGGCGCAGATGCAAAAGGCACATCCGTATTCGAGAACGGAAAAGGTTCGTTTGTGAACTATCGATGCGACGACCATTGTGGGGATCAGCTGTTTTGTTGCGATTTTTTGGTACCCGTGTTGCACCAACAATGAAAAATGGCGATGCAATTGGTATGGAATATGGTTGGATTTTATGGATAAAAAGCAATCGCGTCGTCCGCAAAGCTGAATGGTGGTCTAACAAACCCCAAACAGCCTGCAATGATTTATTTGTAAATTGTTTTCGAACAAAGACTCACCTTGCACGATCGAAAGACGACCTTGGTCGGAAAATTGATATAGTTCAGCGACAAATTGGACAGGCTCGACGAGCTCAGGAGGCATATTGTCAGCAGCGGATACGCCGAGATCGGAGCGACCCGCTGGGTTTCCCGAGCCACGCACCGCCGCTCCAAAAAGGAGCAGATCGTTACCCCCAGCACCTCCAGGTAGCCGAGCATGACCCCAAAGTTGAAGCCCGGAACGGACATTATCGCCTCCTGYAGGTAGTTGTGCACGCCGAAGAACAAAAAGACCCCACAGGCTARGATCGAAAACTGCGCGGGCGGGGCAAGGGCGTCGAACCAGTGCTGTTTAGTTTGCTGCCGCTCGTTGGCGTGGRGTTCGACGGAAGCGTCGTGGGATTTGTGTCCCGCAGTGCCCGTATCGTTCTTCGGATCAACGACGACCGGTGATCGCGGCCGCTGTTTCGGACCGGTCGACATGCTTGTTGGTTTTATTTTTATTTGATTGTATTTGTTATATTCTAATCTTTGTCGGTATTGCAATCCGCACGGTGTATGCACAGGCACGACTCGAAGCAATCGTCGACGACAACCGGCAATGATGATTGCAAGGACGTCGTTCTTCGATCAATATTTCTGTTTCTGCTCTATCCCACCCGAGGTTTCACAGTGTCGCACTTTCTTATGCAGGTCCTCCTTCTTTTCAGTGATGGAGTTGGTAATGTTGTCACGGAAAGTGAAATTATCGTTATCGCTCCAGTAGATAGATCTTCGCTAGTCTGGTGGTGGTGGTGGTGGTAGTTGGTTTTCCCGTTTCAAATGATAGTTATGACTAACATGTATTACGACCGTTAAAAGCATGGAACTTCCGACATCATTTTCAATTTCCATTCGAGCGGAGTACGATTACCCGCTTTGTACACGTACTGCTGGTAGTTTTCATTCTTGTTTTTTATTCCTTCGCGAACGGATCACATCGACGAAATCGTCAGAAGACAAAAAATATATCCCAGCGTACAATCCTACAGGTACCGTACCACACTGTACGAGTATGCCATTTCTCGACCGTAAGAGTATCGCACAGTACGGTACGTACCTACTCGTACTGTTCGTACGTGTCATGTGTTGTAACGTAAGAATGCCTGTCGCTACTGTAACGAAACATCATAAGTAATATCATACAGTATGAAAATATGTTTAATACAGTAAAGTGCTGCAGGGCTAAGGGCTATCGTACCGTACGGTCCCCAGTAAAATACTGTACTTTTTCACTAGGCGTCTCACCTTCAAGATTCCAGATAGGATTCACATTCTGTGCACTACCGAAATAAGGATAATTTTCTACCGGCTTCAAATCCAAGCGCGCCTCAACAAATTATTGGTCGTATTTTTGTGTGACTTCGAGGAAAAATATGCCGATAGGAGGAACAACGGAAAGTTGTTTCGGCGAAGCCACAAAAAATAGGTAAACAAACCTAAAAGGAGGTTAGGAACAAAAGTGTTACTTCACCAGAAAGGCCGATCTAACCCGCCCCAGAAAATCATGGAGCGATGGCTTCTCTTCGGAGAAAAAACTACGCCAGAACAAKTCATTTTCCATACTTCTATCGCAATCGACTAAGACGTGTGGTGCAAGGGTTATCATCCAGAAGTTCCTAGAGTCTGATCACAAAGTAGACATACAAACGTAGCCATTCATAAGAAAAGTCGRCCCTTTTACAACCATGCCGAAGACGTGCTGCAGCTGCCGAGGCGTCGGTGACGGATATTATTTGCAATCGGATGATACATGCATGTGTGGTGAGTTTATACTACGATTGTGGTTGTCTTGGTTGCCATATTTTCTATCTCGTATCWTCAACTYCATTGAYCGCCACAGTATTAAYGYATTTCTGCATACATTATARCTTCTGTTGCTAAATGTTTCTGTCTGTCTTTTCCCTCTGCATCAAAATTCAAATCCCAAACATACACATCGAACAAATTAGGAGGTRCCTATCCGAATGGTTKGGCACCTATACTCGCGGTCCAARCATTGGCGTTGTGTGGAATGMTATTTTCTGTAGCGGCCTTAGCCGATTGCAGCTTTTTGGAATTGGACCATCGATTGTTCTTTCCTGAGGATATGGACGAGAATCTTCCTTTGGAGGTTACGCAGACACAGTTCGTAGGACTTTTTACATGGAAAAAGCTCGAYGGGTACGTATCATATTGTCCCATGCTGCTGGTATACGTCGCCGGTTCAAGAAGTGGATTTTTCYTTGAACTCACTCTGAATTTGATTCAATGGGCATCTTGAATGTTTTTTGTTGGACACCTTCGTSGACTATCAGATCTTGCTACTGGTACAACTMTGGTTCAGACATGGAGGGTCAAGTGGCAACCTTCCATGACATTCTGGGAACTGACATGSAGAAGGCATTTTTTTTTGCTGCAGYCAGTGCTTCCTTGTCGTTTGTCTACTTCATTTACCTTATATCGTTCACGTGCTCCGCCCAAGTTCGCGGAGTCCGATATTTCAACGCGCTGTTCCTATCCGTGGTACTCACAGTGCTGCAAGGTCTCACTTGCTTGGCATTTGATTCGTCGTTCTGCTACGACTACGGATGCACATTTTCGCGCTCCGCGGGATTGAGYGTTGTTTCGATTATATTCTTCTTTTCATCAGGTTTATGTTTTTTTTTCACCACCGATTAYCCTGGATCCGAATGGAATAACAAAAAGCCGGTCTTGGTGCCGATGAGAACTAAGATTGCACCTGATGAGCCCAAAGACAAGAGTGTGCCAGAAGCAGATCAAATGGAACGTGGWATCCTTGGAGACTTAAATGATGAAGGGACTCCTGATATTGAAGAGGTTATGCCTGACTTCGAAGACGAATTCATAGAGGAAGAAGTAATCGATGATGTTGAGGAAGAGGTCGTTGGTGAAGGCGGCGAAGAAGTGCCCAAAGCAAACGAGGAAACGGAGGAGAAGGAGGTTGCAGTTGATGCTACTGGCGATGAAAAAGTCTTGGAAACGGTGAACGAAACGAAYCAGAACGGTGACGAAGCGGAACAAGTCGCTCGTTCCATGGAGGAAAGCAACGATAATACCGAAACTGCAGGCGATGCTGCTCCTACTGCTGTGACTAGCCCCGAAGTTGCAGCTGCAGCCAGCCCTGACCCTGAGAGC